GGTCTTGACTCAGTGGTCTTCTTTCACACGTTCAGTTGTCTGCACATTCTCATCAGGACCTTGACAAAATTTTTCATGCCACGTGGTCCAAACAATTCAACTCCGTCAAACAAAAATAACGGCCAGGTAAGGAAATCAATGATTTTAAACTTTTGTCGTCAATAATATCAAAATATCCGTTAAGTCAAAAACAAATTATTACAGAAAATAGTTTTGAAATTGTACGAATATAAATAATATACAGTAAATACTTTTATATTATTTTCTACCACTATAATTTAATTCTTAAATTATGAACTTCAAATTTAGTAATCGTAGTAAAAAAAATAAGGGTTAATGTTACGTATGGTTCCAAAATGGCCGCGCTTCTGACTGTTCCAAGGTCTATATAAGAAGGTCAGGACACGCGTGATCTACTTCTTGAGCTGCCANTTTTCGATCAATCTCAGTACTTATTTCTTTCTGTAATCGTTTTATATCTTCCACTTTGTTCTTAATTATACAGTGACTCAGTTTCCTTTGTAGTACCTTTAATTTATCAAACCTATCTCTTTTCTTCTTTTTCCAGGTTTTAACTACTTCATCGTTTATCCTGCTTTTAACAATAAGCCATTTATCAAAAGTAATTTCTTCTTCCATCGTATCTATTAATTTACCAATGTTTAACTGAAAGGACTCGTCCTGTAGAATATCTTTAGTTAGCCGAACAGTACGTTTTCTATCAATATGCTTTCCTAACTCCAACTCCATTTCTATCATTTTGTGATCCGACAATTTAACACCTTTATTTCGTAATTCGTAAGTAACAATATTTTTAATCAACCCAACACTTTTTGTCATATAAATGCGATCTAATCTTTCCAGAACACCTCCGCCTTCCCAAGTAAATCCAGAATCAATTAAATAAACACTTCGATAACCATCAATTAAATTAAAATCACTAATCATTTTAACTAAAATTTTACGGGAACCATCATAATGTAGAGGTCTGTTCTTATCAAGAACTGTTAAGACGTTATTAAAGTCTCCCATCAAAATGACCTCCCTACTTACTGCTAAAAAATTTGCCAAAAGTTTAAGATTTTCCTTCCGTTTTGCCAAATGAGGCGAAGCATAGAAACTAATAACACGCAACAATCTGTTTCCTATAGCTATATCCACTGCTATTATTCGTCCTTCAGAGTCTGATCGAAAGTCCTGTATCTTAATCCATTTCTTGATCATAACAATGACACCAGTACTATGCATACTCGAGAAGGAAACATATATATTATATTTTACAAATATTCTCCTGAGATCACGTAAATCGTCAAAATTTCTAATATTTGTATCTCGTATTGCCAAAATGTCTATATTCTGAGTTGACACCATGTTCAATATAGTAATTCGCTTATCTATTCCTCTGAATCCCGTAATATTTATTGATCTAACGTTTAATATCTGCTTAGCCATCATTATTCTTTTTTTGTGTTCTACTCTTTTTTCTCATTACCACTGTTGTCCCTGCCACATTTTTCAAATATGGAGTCGGATTAGAGCACTCCAAAACAGTTTCCTCCAGAAGATTCTGTCCTTCTATCTCAGTTACTATCTTTTTAACACTACCATCCTCTATTCCACCTATTTTCCGTTTACCACTACTTTTTTCTTTTTTTCCTTTCCTCTGCTGTATATCTATCTCCATTTCCTGCTGTTTATTATCATCTTCCAACAGCTCTACATTACTTTGTCTTTCCTCATTATTCACCTCAACAACACTTTGCGTTTCCTCGTCAGTCACTTCTACACCACTTTGCCTTTCACCTTCACTATCCTTATTATTTCTTACAAATTTCTCATACTTTTTCTCCAAACTTCTAGCCCGTTTACGTTCTAAACTATGCTTTCTAGGGCCTTTCTTTATAATCTCTGCATAAGACACAATAGGACATTTCTCGTCATTTTTATGCATTTGATGACAATTATAACAAACTGGACAATTAGAGATTAAGTGATTAACACTATGACACCTAAAACACGCTTTTACACTGCAATTACGAATCTCATGGTCAGGGTTCCCACATCTTCTACATTCCTTCTTTAAACCAACATAAAACAATGGAACAAATTGTCCCAGAATTTCAATATAATTAGGAATTTTCTGTCTTGTTAGCATAANATTTCTCATACTTTTTCTCCAAACTTCTAGCCCGTTTACGTTCTAAACTATGCTTTCTAGGGCCTTTCTTTATAATCTCTGCATAAGACACAATAGGACATTTCTCGTCATTTTTATGCATTTGATGACAATTATAACAAACTGGACAATTAGAGATTAAGTGATTAACACTATGACACCTAAAACACGCTTTTACACTGCAATTACGAATCTCATGGTCAGGGTTCCCACATCTTCTACATTCCTTCTTTAAACCAACATAAAACAATGGAACAAATTGTCCCAGAATTTCAACATAATTAGGAATTTTCTGTCTTGTTAGCATAACCACCCGAAAACTACCAGTCTTAACCCTTGTATTATGATAGTAATTTGCCAGTATGTTAATCACTTTACCATATTGTTTCATTACAGAGCTTATTAATTCTTCATCTGCCTCAAATGGAACATAGCGCATTGTAACAGTTATTAAATTAGACTCACGACTAAGAATATCAAATTGCTCACCTCCAATGTTAATCACCTGACCCACCAACCTTTCTTTGTCTTGAACAGATGACAAACCAACTTCTACCACAAATCTGGGATGATAACATACTTGTTGAACACATTCTTTTCCTCCAAGCTTTTCCTGAATAGCTTTAATAAGTATTTCCACTGGAACACGTTGTTTCATCACTATTCTCACTGAACGAACCGCTTCATACTTCCTTATTCTTTCATAATCCACCTCAGCTCCTGTCGTCTCTACTTCCTCATAATCAGATGAATCCAAGTCAGCCGTAATTGACTGTCCATGGTCTTCAATGGCAGTCTCATCACAAGGGCTATAGATTTTTCTACTAGCACCTAGAGACTCCACTAGAGTCGGAGAACTGCTCGCCGATGGACCTGGCACGTCCATCGTGCGGCATAAACCAGTCAGCAATTAGTAGTAAAATATAATTCAAAAAACACTCACCAAAAGTACAGTAACATTGTAAAATCCAAAAAGTACAATAAAACTCCAATTAATTGTAGATAAAACNTTGGAGAACTGCTCGCCGATGGACCTGGCACGTCCATCGTGCGGCATAAACCAGTCAGCAATTAGTAGTAAAATATAATTCAAAAAACACTCACCAAAAGTACAGTAACATTATAAAATCCAAAAAGTACAATAAAACTCCAATTAATTGTAGATAAAACGTCCAACACACTCGGGCAATATCAGGTAAATCCGGCTATGCTATAATAAAAATAAAACAAAAATTAACAAACACTAATTTTTAAAGAATTATCATATCTTCAAGGACACATTTATTAAAGTTTGATTCTCATTACAAAAACCAAGCAGAGGCCCTCGGTGCCCGCCTTATGGCCTCCGCACAGCACTACCCTTTTCCTTTTCCCCCCTTTACACAAACAATAGGTAATACATCACTTTGTTAAACCGACAATAACAATGTTAGTAAAGTACAAAAGATGAGAACCGACAATACTTTTTCGTTACATAAAAGCATAAATTTGATCAACGACAAAAATACATCATAAAATACAATTTTCATATAAACCAAACTACATAATAAGAATTATAATACACAAACAAACAAAATAGTAGTCCCTTAAATTTACATTTCAAAAACAGCTTCTATATAATATGAAGCATCACCAGAACATTATAAGACAAATAAATAAAAACTAAATTCGAAAAACAGCAAAATTATAAAACATGTCATCATGAAGAAAAATCACACAGAAAAATAAATATAAAAGCTCCAAACAGAAGTATTAACATAGAATCATAAAAACTATTCACGAACTCCAATCATCATTAAACAATATGTTCCCATGTTCTTCTCTCCGAATAACATCAATAACTCCTCTATAACTCTTAGTAAATTCATCGTGAGACATATTCTCCATGTCACTTCTGATCTTAACAATCGCTTCCTGCTTTATTTTACAAACAGTTAAAGACGCGCTCCACAATTTTTGCTCAAACGTTAACACACAGCGCGCCTTCCACAATACCTTTTTAACTAGACCAATAAACCAATTAATCATGTATCTATTTTGGTTTCTACATATATATTTGATATGATATTTAACATTATCCCAAGTTATTTTTGTTTTCCAAACTTTCTGAATCCAATATCTGACCTTCTTAGCAATTTCACATTCATAAAACACATGTATTATATTTTCTTCCCTTTTACATCGTGAGCACCGGGAATCCACAAGCCTCATATACGTATTAAGATAGTGTTTCGTCATTACTACATTCTGAACTATCCGCCAAGAAACTTCCTGCCACTCGGCCGGGAGTGAGCTTATATTTTTCCAAATTTCATCCCATGGGTAGGTATTATCTAACATATTTGCACTAATATATTGCTTATGTATATCACGATAAACATGACCGGGTTTAATTTTTCTATTGTCATTAATAAACTGCGGATTTTTGTCAACAACAATACGGAAATAATCTCTCCATTTCCGATGCCTTTTATTTCCATTTACTAGAAAAGGTTTGCTC